TTGGAAAACTCTAAACCATTCTGCTCTAGAAAGGAGTATTCTTTTTCTTTTTTTATTTTGTTTATACAGCTTAACATTTCTATAACATTACTTGAAATAATCTAATTTCTATTAGAGGCATTTCTATCATACAAAGGTGCACCCTTCTATACAAAAAAGTGTTCCATCATTGATCTATACAAACACCATCATACAGAGAGACAGAGGCTTCAATTCCACACTCGGACTCCGGTGTGGAGACAGATTATATCGTTTATAATCCTAGGACTCGATTCCTATCCGCTGATTGGCTGCGCTATCTCTAACAAAAAAAAAAGTCCAGTAGCCAATCAGTGATAATCACATATCTATCCTCTGATTGGCTGGTGCTATCTCTAACCAAAGTCCTCTGACCAATCAGTGATCACATATCTATTCTCAAAGAGCCAATCACCTCTCTTCTCGTCGACGCCTCTGGCCTGCAACGCCACAGGCAAAAACGTCTGTACAAATCTTACTATTTCAAGAGATTTAGACAATGGGCCCAGCCTATACAGAAATTAGGCTGGGTGTTAAAAAAAATACATATTTATAAGACGAAATAATGATAATAATAATCAGTGATAAAATCAATAGATCTACACTCCAGGAATACCACAAGATGTTTCCCTTGTTTATTTAAGTAGACATTTTGCTTCACTATTCTTCACAGGGAATCCCTGTATACATGGAAGAGGGATATATATATATATATATATATATATATATATATATATATATATATATATATATATATATATATATATATATATATATATATATATATATATATGTATGTATATATAAAACAAAAAAGTAATTCCTGGTTAGGATCCAAAGAGTTGACTTGGCCAGTTTACTTTCCAGGTTCTGCTTAGTTCCTTGAGATTTTGTTTTATAAATAGAAAGCGAATTCAAATACCTTTCATCCCAAAAGAGAGGGGGAGAAATGAAGGGATTTGTCTTTATTCCACTTCTTTCTTTCTCTCTCTTTCTTTCTTTCTTTCTCTCAGGAAGATGAACTAAGTAGAACCTGATAAATAATACACAGGATTGGTGGAGCTGTGAAGGGAGGGCGCGGAGACGAGAGAGAGAAAAAAGAAAGGGACACTTAAAAAAAAAACAAAAAAAAGAAAAAGAAAAAATATATATATAACCCTCTGCATTATTCTCAGATTTTTTTTTGTTTAATTTGGATAAATCATCACTCTCTCTTCTCTTCTCTCTTCTTCTCCATTCTTATCTCTCGCCCTCCCTTGTCACGTGATGATGACGTCACACTCAGGGTATACAAACTCCACCTTCTCCTGCGCGTGTGTGTTTTTTTTTAAAGCTCAGGTATTCTATGGGTAATACACCCCTTTTCTGATCTCTTTTCTTCTGATCTTTTTTTCCGTGATTAAGTAGATTCGAGATATAGGCTATGTGTTTTTGTTTTTGTTTGGTTTTATAATTAGCGACAGGGCTACCGCTTCTTTCTCTCATTTTCTCCCTTTTTCTTCTTCCTTTTCCTTCTTGGTCATCCTCCTTCTCCTCTTCTTCGTTGCAATGACGTTCTCGAGGCCAATGCTGGGTGATAGTCTCAGTGTAGGAGAGTGAAAGTCCGACACTGCAAGCTGCAATACCCACAGTTCCTTGCACGTCTGCCACAGCACAACACGGATGGTAACAGTAAACATTATAGGTCTATCGTTGTTTAAAAAAAAGAAAAAAAGAAAGAAAAAAGTTTCCGTATCTTATTTTATCACAAACGGGCGGTGTGTTGACACTAACACTTCGGGGCTAGCACTACAACCACCACATAATAAGGAATATTTGAAACATCCAGGAAAAAAAAAAGAAAAAAAAAAATAGTAACACTAATAATAATAATAATAATAAGAGCCCTTCATAATCCAAAAAAGCGATCACTCAGTCTGGTTACGCGTAAGGGTTTCTTGGCCATACCGTTGCGTTTGAGAATCGTCCTTCTTGAACAGACAGACACACAGGACTTTTGTTTGGGGGGGGGATGGGGCCACCTGCCCTTCCAATATATATAGAGATATATATACTGTGTGTGTGTACATGTATATATATATATATATATATATATATATATATATATATATATATATATATATATATGACACCCACGCCCATGCAATCGCACACGCCTTTAGAAGCTGCTAAAGGAAGGGCGGAGAGAAATGTCACTGGGAGTAAAAAAGAAAGATGCTGTGAGTCTTTTAGGGGGGGGTTCTGTGCCATTTCTGTGGGGGGGGGGGGGTAGTGGTGGCGTCAGACGGGCCGCTTCTGTGATTCTTTTGAGTTGCTTTTGGTTCTGTGATTATTCTTCTTTCCGTTCTCTTCGTTCTTTGTTTCGGTTTGTTTCCTCGCTTCTCTTTCTTTCCTTCGTTTTCCTCTCCGTGGTTCCCTCCGGCGGCCATGTTGGATCGGCTGGCGTCGCAGGAACCGGGCTTTCCGTGCGCCCTCCTCTCCT